TAACTAATAACATGCTAAATTGTCGCATAGTGTGATTTAACTTTTTACGTAATAAGTAATTACCTTGCCCATCTCTAGTCTGGAGATCCCATTTAACAAAATAATTAGGTTTTTCAACGACAAAAATCATCATTTCAAATTTATCGGAAAATGAAATAAAGTTGATTTGAAAATAAATCTGTAACCAATTTCGATTAAAATTAGATTTCCGCATTTTAACTTTGAAACCCCTAATATATTTAAGCAAAATATTGTTTTAAGGAAACGGCTAGTCAGATCTCAGATAAACTGTTTAAATCGTCTTATTTTAATTGTTATTTTTATTTATTTATTCGCTATAACTAAAAAAATGCAAGTCATTTTCATTGAATAAAAAAATTCATAATTTATCCAATCAGTATCCGAAATCACATGTAAACCGGCAAAATAATCCGACTACCATTTTTCTGGGCGACTAGAGTTCTTCGATGCTGGGTAGTTCGTGTCCGTTGAACTGGCGGATCTTGGAGGTAGCTAATTAATTTCGTTGTATCGCATGCACATTTGGAGCCAAATTGTGCGATATTATAAAAGCTCTCCCATACAATAGTGACAATACGTACATTATCAGTTATGAAATATCAGATATTATTCTTAATCACGTGTTCTCTTTTGCACTGGATAAGATTCGCTACCAGGCTTGGACATATGCATTGATAATTTTCATGAATTATGTAAAGCATACAGAGTTTGAATATCGAGCATTATTTGTGAATTTTCATAAATAATAAACCTTAAGTCTTAGTCAGCCAAGTTGTTTAAGTCGGCTAAGTTGTAATAGCCATTTAGCTAAGCCGATGTAAATACTAAGCCGTACTTGCTAAAGAATAAATCACGTACGAAGCAAATGATTTTTTCAAAAATGAGTAACAGTGAATTTTCGCAGGCTTCTAAGTCCGAAAATTAAGAAATTGAAATCGAACTTAATCTAACACCTAAACCACACAACAGAAATGAAATAACAAACATTCTGCTATTACTAAATGGTAGGTACGCAGTGACATGGAACAAAGATCAGAGATCGATTTGTGAATGGAAAATTGAAAAACCACTCACAAAGTGGTTACTCGAACACCCTAAGTATTTCGAATTTGATTGTTTGATATATGTTAAAAAGTCTTCGACGGTTGAACTAACGCTAAGTGCAGTTTCAAATCATAACGATGAGCATAAAAATGCTTTCGTTAAACTTCTTGCAATACAATGTGGCAATAGAATTGATTAGTATTAAATAAATAAAATAATTACAATATTTGCAATACTTAAAATAATTTTTCAAAATATTTATTCTTTTTAAAGATATCATTAATCTTACAAACAAGAAGAAAATAGTACTAAAATTAGGCACACACCGATATTCAATGGTTGAGTGTAGATTTTGTGATAATGGATACTTTTTAATGGTTACGAATAGTAATTATGAATATAATATTTTCAAATTTTTAAATAAAAATTTAAGCAAGCAATACTGGGAGATTAATAGTTCAATTTACTGCAAAGCAAGTAAAGATATTATAAAATGTCACCTAAACGATAAAGGAAAGATAATGCTTCTTGATAGCTGTGGGTCATTAACACAATAGAATTTAAATACATTATTTGAAAAACAATATCAATTAGATATGACCCATGACTTTATGAGTAAAAAAGAGTGGAATTACATTTTTAATAAAAATTCTACATTACTTGCAGCATATTTAGGAAATTTTATTTACATTTATTTGACTGAAAATTCGATGCTTTTATCACGATGTAAGTTATTTAATCCATGTTTGCAAAAAGTATCAGATTTTATATGAAGTCTGAATATTTTATTGCAAACGGATATAAATTTCAATATTTTGAATTTACTAAATAAACTGATGGTGTTTAACTATAGCTGTCATACATGTATTTCAGAACAATTAAGTATTTAGAGAGTGTTTGATACTCTAGGTAGTAACTCCAAACCTTATCTAACCTTAATCATGAACCTAAATTGATAAGAAAATTTTTGCAAAATATACATAGTGTTAAACACCTTCTGTTGATTTATTACGATTCTGTAACTGATTTGAAACTTATAATTAATTAATAGACGAATGTGATAAAGATTTACTGCATTTAGAATTTGTATCGTACGATGAAGTAGAAAGATTAATTTTATTTTTTGACCATGATAATCTCGAAATAAAAGACCCTTTCTATCTTGATAAAACTTGTAAAACGGTTGTTTCAGATCTTTGTAACAAACTTTTAAATGAATTGATAGATTTTGATGAAAAAAATTTGACAAAATCAGATATGCAAGAAGCCAAATTTAAAACATTGATAGATGAAAGAATATATTGTATGTCAAAAAAGGGACGTTTATGAGTTCAAGGGGTTTCTAAAGAACAATGGATTAAATATTTACAAGAAGAATTAAATGATTATAATAGAATAAGAGCTCTACTTGCCAAATCTCAAATAGAAGATATTCTGTCAAAATTTATAAAGAATACTATAAATGAGAATAATATAGAATGAGAATTTTATAAATGAGACTTTTATAGATGAGAATTTTATAAATGAAAGTATTAGTCAGATGAAGAGAACACAATCATATTCTAGATCATTGACAAAGTGGAAAGTAAATGGCAATGATAAAGTAATAACAGCTTTTTTGAAAAAATCTGATTTGATCATGGAGGAATCCACATATGTAGTAAAATTAAGTGATTCATTTAATTATAAACTTACAAAAGATGGCATATGTTTGAAAAAATTATGAAAATTTATATATGTGAAATATTGGATAATGAAGATTTAATAATGATTACATTTCATGGATTATTTATATGGACAATTTGGCAGAAATGTAATGATAAAAATATTAGAATTAGTTTACGATATTTCATAACATACATGGATATGGATGGAAATGTATGCCTTCCTCTGTTATTAGAATATATACAAAAGTATGAAAAAAAATCATTACCAGCACCAGATTTTGATTTTTTAATTATTAATAGTGAATATTCATGCAAATCATGCACGGAAGATAAGAGAAGATATATTTTTCAAGAATTATTGGAAGATTATATTGAAGATAACATATTAATAAAGTTATATAGACAAGGACTTCTAAAGTGTTGCCTAAAATTCAAACACTATCCACTAGTAGAAAAATTATCTAAAAAAATATTCGAAGAAACAGAAAGTAAAAACTTTTTAGCAAAGATTCAGTCATTAGATATTTTGACTTTTTCATTCATAGAGTTAACTCAGCTTTCTCAATTTTTGAGAGAATTTTTACCACGTACTTTATTTATTCATTCAACTAATGACCCCGAGGAAATTAAATTTAACAAACTTTTTCCAGAACCACATCTTCAGAGTCGTATAAAGTATTTACAACCTTCTTTCAATAGTAACATAAAAAAATTTACAATCTTTTTTGATACTCTTTTTAGTATTTTAAGAACATTTTTTAGTACTCTAGGAAAATTTTTTAGTACTCAAGGAAAATTTTTTAGTACTCAGGGAAAATATTTACTAAGAATACTTTTTAATCCTATAGTAATATTTTTAGTATTATAGGAAAAGTTTTTGGATTTTCAAGATTCGGAAATTTTTTAATATCAATATTTATATTTATATTATTAATCATAATATTTCTCTTTTATTATTTATATGCTATACTAATAACAATTTATAAAAACCTTTATGGGATAGTCAGTGAAATACTTGATAGAATAAATTATAAAATATTTGAAGAAATACCTTATGAAATAGAACAAAATTTTTATAAAGAATTTCAAACTGTAGTTTTAATCTTTCCATTACCAAAATTTAGTTCTTATAATAGTAATTATAATTTTTGGAAAGAATTAATTTTTCCTAGTCCTAGCATTTTTTCTAAACAACAATTTTCTGAACTTTATAAATATTGGCATGGTGAAGCACTTCTTAATTTCAAGTGGGACACCTATGGAAAATATTATTTTTTGATGATTTTTGTTTTTTATTTTATTTTTATATTATGTTTTTTAATAGTTGCTACGATAAAAGGATTATCCTATAATACTCAAAATCTAGAACAATTTTTAAATAATTTAACTACTTACTATTAATTGCAACTATTATTCTTGGAGTTCTACATCTTATTTTTGAAATTCGGCAATTTATATATTCTCTCTTTTCTTGGATTACTGATATTTGGAATTATTTTGGTATATAAGCTTCATTTTTATTGGATAAATATAAAATTATAAATACTTATTTATAACTAATAGCAATATTCAAGACATAGGCGCAATAATGTTTCCTGTATTAACTTCTATTGATTATTTACAAACTTCTACTACGCCAACTTGAGCTATTACACTTTCTATATTGATACTTGAACTTAAGTTCATAACATTCTTTCGTGCTATTAAATTTGGTGATACTCATTGGGCAATGATTATTGGAGTTATAAGAAATTCTTTATCCTTTTTTGTGATAATAGGCTTTATTCTATTTGCTTTTGCACACTCTTTACATATTTTATTAAGGCCAACAACTAATATTTCAGATAACTCAAATAATTTAGAAGAATTAAGTACAAATATGTTTACAAATTTAGATACAGCATTTTTGGCTGTATATATGATGCAAACAGGTATTTTTAATTATTTTCTTCCGACAATAATTTTGCATATTTCTAATTTTACATAATTATTTATAGGCGATACATCCTATGTGTCTAATTGGTCATTAGCTGAAAATATAACACTAACAGTTTTAATAATCCTTTTTACTTTTTTTACAACCATTTATTTGATGAATTTGTTTATTGGGTTGTTATCAAACTTTATTAGTGAAACAAATAAAAATGAATTATTTTTACTTCAAAGAGCAAAGGTAAATGTTGTTAACATGTTAATAACTTTATTTTCAAGTTACAATAATTCTTATATTATTTAAATAGATTTTAGCAGAAATAGAATTATTCTACATGCTACCATACCAACGTAGAAAAAATAATTGGTTTCCTGAAATCATGTAAATATTAATTTACTATAAAATATTTAATTATTCGCATTTACAAAATTTTAATATTTTTAACATTTAAAGATTTTACAGATTTAGTTTCGATAAACTTTATGATGTAGTCACTAAAATACAAAATAATAATTGGGATGATACTACTGAAAAGCCTTTTCTTTCTGATTCATTATTAAAAATCATAGGTATAGATAAAACAGAAGATAATATTCAGCAATTAACGGTTAATGAAAATAAGACAATTGAAGATATGATTCAACAATTAACAGAAAACAAAAATATAATAATTCAAAAATTAGAGGCTAACGATAAGATAATTCAAGAGTTAAAAAAAAATTTATAGATTAGAAAATTAAATTATTTATTGTGTAATGTATAAGTTTTTTTAATATGGTATATTATAAGGCGAACAAGACAATTTTATTAAAGTTGTAAATACAGAATCCTTTTATTTTTAGTATTTTATTCCTTTTGCTGAAGCTAAGAGGAGCGAGAAGAGAGCATATAAAACCTTTACTGAATTTTCAAAGATGACCAATTATATGTCCAATTGGACCTGATTTACAGTAAAATGTCATTTTCTGACCAACTTTGAGATTTTTGATTAAAGTAAAACCTTGTTCTAATTTGTATACTGTACAATTTTATTTCATGTCAAATTAATAAATAACGAGATATTAATTCAAATTTCTTCAAAGAAATGATCACTAAAAATAGAATAACAGCCGATCAGAAGATCGTTAATTAGACTTGTTGAATATTAATAATTAAAAAAAATAAAAATGATAATAATAATTTGCTACGTTGAAATTTTATTTTTCTATCTTTCTGTTTGATAAATATTTAAACTGTAAAAATTTATATGCTTAGAATAATAATAAAGTTAGACAACCTGATAATTATTTCATTTTGATATTTAGGTCCTAAAATTTGAAGAAAATTAAGACTCCAGCTTTAAAAAATGCCGCTGTTGTACTAGTATATAACAGGATTATGAAATACAGGGATACCTCCCTAAATGCACTCTTAAATTCCGACCCAAGCATATACTATACTCCTATAAATACACATTTTTATTTTTCTCTAAATGCATTTTTTAGAAGTTCGGTCCCTATAGTGTGTATTTAGAGAGATTCTCAATTTGGGTTTACCGGGCAGAAAAAATCGAAACGTAGAAACAGTTCTTTCAAACCTAATCGAAAGAGTAATCAATAAGAACGATTTGGTCAATAAGGATAATTAGGACCATAAAGTGAATTCGGTCTAAATAGTCATTTCCAACGATATAGATAACAAAATATTTTTATAAATAAAGGCCATTTAAACCCTTTGGGAAGGGGAGGTTTTCCCTTGCCAAATAAACGTATTCTTATTACACAACGATATATATTCGTTCCCAAATTCTCTACGAGTGACTGTAGGAATCATTGTAAAAGCATAAACCTAAACCAGAATTATTGTCAAATCCTGATATTTGTCCAGTTTCTGACGTATTGTGTATTGTTGAGGTTGTAGATCGGTAGTCCCGACAAAGTGTAGACCATTCCGGAGATACGTTACGCTAGGGTGTGTAACGGCCTACGTATTAAAATCAAAATAGGCAGGGTCACTGATCATCACTAATTGCGGATTTTTTATGGGTATTGATGCACACATATCAATCTTATTAAAACAAAAAATACATTTATTGAAATAAATAATTACTAAATAGGATACTATTTTTTTTAATATTTTTATAAAAAATTTTAGATCAAAAAAATAGCTCTATTTCAGTATAAAGCTGGTCTAGAGCTTCAATTATATTAGGCCCTCCAACATAATAAATTACCGGTTTGCCTTCGAATCCCGATATCCAGAATCCCAACGCTCAAAATCCTAAAGCAAATTTTGATGCTATCAGGGTTTTGTTTTCGGGATTTTAAGCGTCGGGATTGTAAGTATCGGGATTCTGAGGTAAAACCAAAATTACCATTAGAAAATCCGCAATTAGTGATGATTAATAATGACCTGCCTATGTTTGATTTTAATAGGCCATTACACACCCTAACGTTACGCCAATTGCCAAATCTAAGCGCCTCTTTCGAAAACTCTATCCGAATTAGTGTGGTAGATAGATAGTGATAGTTTGGTGATGGTATAGAAGAACCTGATCCACGAATCTCCCTCGTTATCTTTCAACGTAAAAAGATTTTTTGATTAGGTGCATTTATATATCTAGACATGCTGTGATATCAATATTATGGAGCAGATCAACTGATTACATTGATGACAGTAAACTCATAAGGATGTATCTTTTAGCATTAAATGTGGAAGAACAATCTCTATTAATCCCCTTAGAAACTGTTATTCCAAGCTATCCAAAATCATTATTTGAGTACTCAAGTTATACTGTGTCAGATTGGCTTGCTGAAGAATGTAATATGGATGAGAATAGTGATTTGCCTTTTGTTATAGATGCCATTAAATGGTCTTTGGTTAAAATGTTTCTATGAACAAGTAAAAAATTGAACATTTAAATTATCGTTTTAATGATTTTAATTCTGAGGAAATAATGCTATTGTTAGCAAGAATACTCGCTTGACTTCTTTTAGTAACAACACTACTTAACTTCTTTAATTATTAGTTGTGATAATCATATTAGATTATTTGGAAGGGGAAAAGCATTAGCAAAAGCTCTTTGTAAGAACTACACTTTAACTAGTTTAAATATTGCATCTAATCCTATTGGTCTTGAGGGAGGAGAGGCGTTATCAGAAGTATTTTGCAAAAACACAACATTGATCTCTTTAAATATTTATGATAATGAACTTGATTGTATGGGTGCGAAGGTTTTATTAGAAACCCTTTCTAAAAATAATACAGTACTTTAACTTCTTTATGTATATGATACAATCGGAGGTGCAAAAGTATTGGTAGAGGTTCTTTTCAAAAACACTACTTTAACTTCCTTAGATGTTTCATCTAATAGACTTGGTTCTGAAAATGGAAAAATTATAAAAATTATAGCAAAAGCTCTTTGCTTAAGCGCTACTTTGACTTATTTAAATATTTCCGGTAATGCACTTGTTTCTGAAGAAGTAAAGGCGATAGCAGAAGCTCTTATAACAATATTACTTTAAAACTTATTTATCGGTGGCAATAATGCAGGTTTTGTAGGAGGAAAAGCATTAGCAGAGGCAATTTACATAAACACTACTTTAGCTTCCTTAGATATTTGCAAAAATGAATTGATTCTAAAGGAGGAGAGGCACTTGTTAAAGCTCTTTGCACAAAAAATACTCTGACTTCTTTAATTATTTGTGGTAACAAGATTGGTTTTAAAGGAGGAGAGGCATTTACAAAGGCGTTTTGCATAAATACTACTCTAAAGTCCTTAAATCTTAGTGGAAATAAAGCTGGTTTTAAAGGGGCAAAAGCATTTGCAAATGCTCTTTGCATAAATAATGCTCTAAAATCACTAAGTTTTCGGGAAAATCAACTTGGTTCTGAAGGTGTAAAAGCATTAGCAAAGCACTTTGTAAAAACGCTACTTTAATTTCTTTAGATATTGGTTTTAATGAAATTGAATTTGACGGAGGAATGGAATTAGCAGAAGCCTTTTGCATAAATACTATTCTAATTTCCTTGGATCTTTCTTATAATGACTGAGTTTTGAAGTTGGGAAAGCTTTGGTGGAAGCACTCTATAGTAATATTACATTGATCCATTTAAATCTTTGTAATAATTCAATTGATTTCAAAAATATCAAAAATACAAAAAGATAAGTGTATTAAACCAATTTTTCTTATACACTTAAGAAATTTCACATTATTAACTTATAAAATGCTATAAAAGATGCATAGCTTCTGTTTTTTCTGTGTTTCTTGTTTAAATATTTATTAATCTAGCATAAATAAAAGAATTTAGCGTAAGTATGCTAACTACAAGCATATTTGGATGTCAATGACGACTATTGAAATTTCTTTTATTGTACACTTTGAGTTTGAACGTTAATAAATTTGAAATTGTCCCGGATAGCAAATTATTATACTAGCTTAAAATGATTAAATTTACGCGCTTTTATTGGTCAAGAATTTAGTACCTAATGTTTACGACTATTTACAGTGTTCGCGAAACGTAGAACGAACAAAATGAATCATTGTATTAAATAAATGATGATAAATAAATAAATTTTATAAGATACTAGTGCGATAGGCGGCGCTTCGCGCCACCTATCTTATTCAGTAATTTAATAATTGTTACAGATAAGTCCTGACGTAATTGACAATCGAGGGCGCAGACATATAACTTCTGACACGATCAACCACAATTTTGCATAACGAAACAAACGTACATTTTGAAAAAATTGCCCATTTCTCGAAAATTTGCATAAGAAATTGCCTTTTGTGCTCTAACTAAAAAAATTCCTTGCTAAATTTTGCATATATATAATACCCTACTAAAATCCTAGTTGGCGCTCTAAAGTAAACGAACTTAAAATTTCTTTCTGGTCTCGTGTCTGCACCCTCGATTGTCGGTTACGTTGGATTTGCTGAATTTGAGATCTCTGCCAAAACTCATTTTTACGAATTTCCTTATATCAAGAAAATCCCGGGGCTGTAGTTTATTTCTGATCTAGCTCCAGAATTTGTTTGTTTACTTTGTTTACTCTAATACTAAAATTAGGTAAATTTTGTTTTTTTTTCTTTTCAGTTCTTTTTCGTCGCTTTTTTGGTGTTTCTTTCATTGCTCTTTTGATGCTTCTTTTGCTGCTTCTTTTGGTATTTTTTTTTAGCTGTTCTTTCAGTTTTTTATTGTTGTTTTTGGTGCTTATTTTGGTGTTTTTTTCGTAAAGTTTTCGGCACTTTTCATTGTTTTTCGATACTTCTTTCGTCATTTTTTTTCGATACTTCCTTTGCTGTTTTTTCAGTGCCTTTTTCATCACTTTTTTGTTGCTTTCGTCTCTTTTTCGGTGCTTCTTTGATCTCAACGTTGAGGTCAACGTTGAGGTTAACGTTGAGGTTAACGTTGAGGTCAACGTTGAGGTCAACGTTGAGGTTAACGTTGAGGTCAACGTTGAGGTCAACGTTGAGGTTAACGTTGACCTCAACGTTAAAGTCAACGTTGATTTCAACATTGAGGTTAACGTTGAGGTTAACGTTAATTTTAACGTTGACTTCAACGTTGATTTCAACGTCGTTTACGTTAAAAATGATTAGTAAATTGTACGGTTAAAATAAAGTATCTATCTCCAGCGCCAAATCGGAAGTGATCTGTAAGATCGGAAGTGATCTGCAGCCCAGGATTTTATTGACATAAGGGTACTCGTTTTTTCCTGTTACTGTGATCACGTTAATTTTCATG